AAGTCATGGCCCCCAGGACTCCCCGTGGATACAGTGAACATCCAACCCCACAGGTCAAGGGTGCAAAACTGGTGTCAGCAGCCCAAAGGCCGGCTTAGCACTGGGGACGGACGCCGCCCCGCGTCCCCACCGTGTGCCTCCTCTCCCACTCTCGCCGGCGCAGCCGCGGCCCCTGTGGCGTCAGGGGAAAGGCCCCCACAGGTGGCCCTGCGCTGGCAGCCCTTCGGAGGACACAGTTACATGAAACGAATCCTTCTCTCGAAATTAAACCTCAGAAACATGTTCAATAAGCGTGCATCCCCGTCTCCCGCGCGGTGGGCAGCAGGACCCTCTTCACAATCAGCCATGGCTCCGGCACGTTTCCCGACAGCGAGCGGCGGCGGCTCTCAGCAGGTTCCCCCATTCCGCTTGTTAGGACGCGGTCTTTAAAACTGAGTTCCTCCCGAACACCTTGGAAAATCGGGTCTGTTCATCGCACCAGTTACGAAATACTGCAGACACCGTCCGCGATCGGAAAGAAAGGTGTGTCGTCCCGGATCCTGGCGAGACGCCGCCTGTGCTCCCTCAGGCCCTGCTCTCGCGCCCGGGCACCCGTGGGGGTGGGAGGGATTGAAGGGGGGCTCCGCAAGGCTCCACAGGGGAGAGCGCCCAGACTTACGGTCCGAGTGAGTTGGAGGCCCCACGGGTCCGCTCACTCATCGCCTCCGTCCCGATCCCCCAGCACCTCCTCGGCCGTGTCTGCCGATGGGGAGGCCTCTCGGAGAGTAAGCAGCGCGCGGTGGGACCCAGAGGCCACGCCCGGACCCCGCGTGGTGGGAGAGGGAGGCTGGGAGGCAGTCCTGGCGGGGCTGAGGCTGCAGGAAGCCCAGGAGCCGTGCCAGACAGAGAAGAGATGTCGCCAAGCACGAGGCCTGAAGAAAGGCATCTTCCAGGCGTCTGCATGCGCCCGGCCCCAGCCAGGAGGCGGTGGGCGGGGGAGGCACCGTGCGGCCATCAGAGAGGCCAAGCCCAGAGTGGTGGACCAACATGATGTAACGCACAGGGTCTGGCGGCAGAGAGGGCGTCCCTGGGTGATTTCATACCCCCGCGGCACAGCCAGGTTCTCTGTGGCGCCGTGGGGCAGCTGGCGGAAAGGCCTGAGGCCAGAGGCTGGGAGACCAGGATGCAGGCTGTGGTCGGTGCAGAGGGGCTGCTGGGCCCTGGAGGGGGAACTTCGGTTGCTCACAGAAGGAGACTTGAGCTGCAAAGCTCAGAGCTGGAAGGGTCCCTAGTGGGACAAATGTTGTCCCTGAGCCAGGAGATGGGTGTGGGGTCTCACGCTGACTGTGTGGCCCTTTCTTCTGTGACTCGGTTTCTCCAGGGAGCCGGGGTATGACTGAGGCTCTAGGTAAGATTCCAGCCTCCTGTGATGTTTTCAAGGCACAAATGTCTGGGCCTGTCCTCGGGGTCTCTGGTCCTGCCCACCCATCAGGTAACCCCGCCCTGGCCCACCTCCCCCTCCAGGCAGCCCTTCTGAAGACACGTGAACCCTATCACAGGGCTGCCCTCCTCCGAGAGCCTCCTAGGGCTCCCAGGATGAAGACGGAACCTTCAAGCCTCCAGCCTCACCGGCCCCAGGCTCCACTTCTGCCTGACCGCCCCTGGTTCCTAATCCCACCCCACTGTGTGCAGCTCAGGGCGTGGGCACACAGCACGCCTTCGTTCTGGAATATTCTGTGCCCAATTGGGGGCCCCGTCAACGTTCCTGGTGATGCCCTCCCCCCATTATTCCCACGGCACTGGGTCCCTCTCACGGCCCTGGCCCGGGTGGGTTTGACATCTGCACATGTGACTCCTGGATTAAATTCGCCTCCCCCCTCAGACCCCCTGTGAGGGCCAGAGCCCCGCCCGTTCCGGCTCCCACCCCAGGGGAGGCCGCCCTCTCCTGACCAGGCTGCCGTGTGCTCTTTCATCCCCAGGAGACGAAGTTCCGGACGAGCAGGAAGGAGGCAGAGACTAAAGGGTCTTGTGCCTCAGCCCCCGTGGAAAGCAGCCCCTAACTGCCCGGGTCTAGCGCGTCGCCCACACCGTCCAGACTCCTGCCCAGAGGCAGAGTTACAACCCCCGGGGCTGGTGCCCCTCCCTCTGTGATGGAAGCAACTGAGCTTTTGCAAGCTCAAGGCTCTGCGTTCCAGGAAGACAGTGGGGGCCTCCTTGGCAGAGATGGACGGACACGGAGAAAGACAGCCCCAGCCTCCAGCCTCCTGCGGCGAAACACAAGGACAGGTTATTTGGGACTCAAAGGGACACTGCCCCCCCCCAACGATCAAGATCAGGTCCGTATCAGAAGGCGCTCCCAGCACGAGCCCCAGAGACCAGGGCTGCGAGGCGGGGGCTCGGCCTCGGGGCCGTCATTTCCATGCATCTGTTCCGGTGGGAGGGGAGCGTCGCGTGGCCAGCGCTGCGGTGCAGGCTGCAGGGAAAGTTTTGTGTCTTGCCTCCTCTGTAGCACAGACGTCCAGGGAACCGGCGAATCAACACGTGGGCGGATCCAGTCCACGCGACACGTTGTGCCAACAAGGACACCCAGGACAGCGGCTCAGCTGAAGCACCAGCCCCGGAACCCAGGGCATTGAGTCCCGGCCTAGCCCTCCCGGGTGGCGCGATTCAAGCCAGGCCCGGGGTCGGGGACGAGGCCCCGCAGGTGTGGGTACTGGGTACCGAGCCAGGCCCGGAGGTGGAGACGAGCCCCCGCAGGTGTGGGTACCAGGTACCGAGCCAGGCCCGGAGGTGGGGACGAGCCCCCGCAGGTGTGGGTACCGGGTACCGAGCCAGGCCCGGGGTCGGGGGATGAGGAGGGGCAGAGCCTGGTCCTCACCACCCTCAGCTCCCAGCTGCCCGGGCTGCTCCTGCCAAGGTTTAAATCGCACGTGTGTGAGAATTAATGCATTCTCTCTAATTGTAATAAATTCATTTGAAAGCCCCGCAGTGAAGGGAAAATGGTGTTCTTGTCCTCAAAGAGCCCGGCTGGCGTGTGCCTAAGCCCCCTCGCTGTCAGCACCAGTGCGCCCTGCATGTCCTCTCTTGAATCCTTCCTGCACCCTGATATTCGGGATGGGGGGAGCCCAGGATGGGGTATCTCCTTCCCCCTCCCTCCTCCTCACTGTAAATCTGTGCCCACCTCCCTGTTCGTGGTGTTTCTCATGCAAAAGACAGATGTTTCAAGGTTGCTCTCAGAGCCGCCCAGCAGGGCCCCGTCAGGTTAGCCAGATCTCGGCACCACGGCGTCCTGGTCGAGAGTGGGTGACAGGGTGTGGACTGCCCAGCGCCCTCCCCTTGTCTCTGTGACTCAAAGCCAGGCACTGGGAGGGAAGTGGGTTCCTAGCAGTCACATGCACAGACCCCTCATTCAGCTGGGCACGGGCCCCGCCACCTCCCCCTCCTCAGCACTGGCCCACCCTGACCTCCCCGGCCCTCCGCACCGTCAGCAGAGCCACCCCAGTTCAGGCCTTCCTGCAAACACTGTTGGAAACCACTGTCCCACCCACGCCTGGGCCCCCATCCATTCTCCAACACGCCCGACCATGTCAGCCCGGGCACCAGCTGCCCCGTCGCCCACCCTCCACCAGAAGCTCCGACAGAGCACTGGGTCCTAGGCGCCCACACGGGTGTCACATAACTAGGAGGGCCCGTCTGCCCGCTGGACGTGATCGTCCTGGGAGCGGGCACTGGGCTGGGGACCCCCAGCCCTGCATCCCATCATCCAGCACGGCCACCTGTCGGATCCTGGTCTGAGCGCAGGTGGGCGCCAGCATCCTGGAAGCGTCAGACAGACCAGTGTCCACATCGTGCTCTCAGAGCTTCTACAGAGGTGATCTAGAAGCTTATATTTGGGGCAGGGGCCCGGGAACCCACACAGCTTTGCCTGAGTGCATTCAGGCCAGTCTTTGGAGGCCAAGCTGCAGCAAACACAGGACGCAGCCCCAGTGACCAGGGAGGCTCACGTCTCACAAAATGTGATCAGTGATGAACCCCAGGGGCCTGGCCTGAGGCATGGGGACATGAGACGCGAGACACCTCGGAGGGGCTTCCTCACCACAGGAGCAGTGAGGCCGGACACAGGTTGTACCTGATAAAGCACCACAAGCAGGTTAAAACCTCCCTCCGCTGCCGTGGAGACCATAGAAGCGCAGGTGAGCCGCGAACACGAGGCCAGGAGGCAGGTGCTGCACTGAGGTTCGGCACAGAGCAGGAGCGGACGGGCGTGCGACCCACAGCCCTGCACAGGGTCGCGGTCGGTAAATGCAAGGAGCAGGTGAAGATCCCGGGGTCAAAGTGTGACCTCGGGATGCTGCGGAGGATTCCGAGGGTTTCACGATGAGCATCAGGGCTCTGGTCCACTGGAATGAGGCCCATCCACTGCGATGGCTCAGCGCCTGGGACAGCAGGGAGCCCAGGACAGGGTCTGCATGGGACTCAAGAGTCAGGACGGCAAAGGGGACCGGGACCAAGTTGAGGAACACTCCCGGGGCCCCGTCAGCTCCTTAACGAGGACTCGGAGTGTCCTTGAGGTCGTCACGTTGTGTCCTTACGTGGTTGCTTCGAGAAAACCGCATCTAATTCATTCAAGTGGGGCTTAGTCACTGTGACAAGCCCTCTGCCGTCCTTGCTGTGGCCATCAGCTGAAGCCGGCTGTTGTGGGGACTCACGCGGCTGAGAAGCACCTGGGGTCTCCTTCCCCGCGCAGGAGGCTCAGGGCTTCACGACTTGCAGGGTGGACAGCGATGAGGCCGTTCCCACTCCACACGGGGCTCTTTTTTTTTTTTTTTTCAGTTTTCTCTCTTTTTTGTTTAGTTTTCTTTCTTTCTATTTTTTTTTCTTTTTCTTTTTTCAGTATAGCCAGTTTGCCGTGGTGGGTTGATTTCTGGTGTGCGTAATAGTTCAGTCATAAATACACATACACATACACATATCCTTTTTCAGATTCTTCTTCACTACGCTTTTTTTTAATTTTTTAAAAATTTTAATTGAAGTACAGTCAGCTGCGATGTGTGAATCTGATGCACAGCACGATGTCCCAGCCAGGCGCACACATATATAGATTGGTTTTCATATTTTTTCCATTAAAAAATTACAAGATGTTGAACCTAGTTCCCTGTGCTAGACAAAAGAAACTTTTTTACTTGATTTCTGTAAATTCCTTATTGAGAATATATGATCAGTATTCAGCTTCACTAACAAACCATGCAAGGCAGAGTTAAATAAAAATAAAAGCAGGTTTTCGAATGGCAAGGGAAAGATAGCGGTTCCCCCTGCCTCTTTTTAGGCATTAACCACAAAGCACAGAAGAAAATGAAACACAGAAGTGTGTGTAGGCCTGAACCTCAGTGCCAGGGGGCTGCCACGCACAGTGGGTCGCACAGACGCAGGGAAAGGGGCCAGGAAGGGCTGCCTGTCGGGGCAGGTGTCAGAGGGAAGCCTACACCACGGCGAGGACTTTCCACCAGTTTTGGACGAGGGGACCCAGACACAGACCTGTGACAGAGCATCCTTGCACCAAGCTGGCAGGTTCCCAGAAGAGAAAGACGGGACTGAACCGGGCATCCCACTGAGATGCTCCATTGGCAGGAAGCCGTTTCGTAAAGGGTTGGGCCGGGGAGGGGCTCTGCTGTGAAATAAGTGTGGCCCCCAGTGCGGCCAGGGAGACGCAGAACCACAGCCACGCAGCCTGAGCCCTCAGGAGACTCTCTGCTGGTCTGTAACACACACCAGACACTTCGCCGCGGTCAGGGGACATGTTCAGTTTAATGGGGAGTCAGCTCTATACGTACAAGAGCCCAAAGCAGAGGTAAAGGATGGAGAGAAAACCAAGAGGAGGTGGACGAAAAGCGGCAGCACACAGGAAGAAAGCGCAAGGAATACGTAAAGCCACTCCTGCAGCGCAAACCCAGCTGAACGTGGTGCGGAGACAAATGCACACACTGAGGACAGCATGGCGACAGACACGGAACAGGCCGAGAAAGGCAAGCAAGTGGGGTGGAAGCCCACAGACGCGGGAGACGACAGGGGGACAGACAGGGCTGGCGTCTCCGAAGGAGAGAGCAAGTTAGTCAAACAGGAGAATGTCTAATACCGTTCAAGAACAACTCTCGTCAGGAAACAGGACTGGAGTCTACAGAGGGAAAGGCGCATGTCTCAGGGGAAAAACTGGCAAAAGATGCTAGCAAGGTTGCTCGAGGTTACAGATGAGGAAAGCATTACTTCAGCAGCCAGAGGGAAAAACCAAGCCACGGAAAGGGAAGGCCAGTAGCCCGGCCTCAGCCGTCTCCATGACACACCCGCGCGGGCATCAGACGATGAAGCCCGCCGCGTCCTCAAAGGGGAGACGGGGGCCCACGAGCTTCGCAGCCAGCCCACCCGCCGTCCAAGCACAAAGACAAAAGACAAAGAAGTTTTGAAATTTCAGCATCCAGAGGAAAAGCCTTAAAACGAGCTCATCCTGCAGGAGCCACCGGAAGGCAGCTCTGGGCGAGAGACGTGCGGCGGCAGCGGAGCGGAGGCACGGCGGTGAGACACGCGCGCGGCTAACTAGGAGGGAGACGAAAACGCTTGCGGGGTGTTAGCTACCAGAGAAGCTGTAAGTGTTAAGTATGAGCACAGCTGAGAAACCCTGAGACTCTCAGAGGCTGGAAGAGAAAGGGTAGGTCGTTCGAGGGGTGCCAGAGGGACACGGACTTCCTCACGCGTCATGACCAGAGACAAAATGTGCTTCAGTCTGGTAAGTCAGCTGCTAGGTGTGCAAGGATGTGGGGACGCACAGCCGCAGACTCTGAGAGGGAAAAGGGAAACCAAGCAACGCTGCAGAGGAAGCCGAGGCGTGCTTGTGCCGTAGTTTCCCATCGTGTGTCATCAGTAAAGGACGGAGCGGAGCAAACCAAGCCAGAACCACGAGGCGGCCACTAGGCAAACTCCTGCACACTAAACACAGACAACACAGCGAAAGGACACCAAGGACCTGCAGTGACGGACATTCTTCAGACGTGATCAAAAGCAGAAAATCTGACGACAACAGAGGGCGCCTCAGAAAGAGGGTAAAACTGGGCCAGGAAGGAAAACACAGGCTCCGTCCTGAGATGATTGGAAAACAACGCGACTCGGGTTAAAGAGCGATGCGTCCAAGAAAAACGCATAAAAAAATGCAGGCTGGCAACCGATGTCGGAGAGGGGACGAGAGGGATTATGCCAAACCAAAAAGGCACTTTGGAATGGCAGAGACTGCAGTCCACAGAGCAGCCTGCAATCAGGGACATGAACGCATCGGGACGTGGGGCCACTCGCAGGGCGGGGGCCCGGAGGAGGCCCGACGCAGCGGCGGTGCCCTCAGGAGGAGACGCTCGCGCTCACGTCTTGGGCCAGGACAGATCACGGTGGGACGATGCGCAGAACCGCAGGAGCTCGCGGTGGAGCTTCAGGGGAGCAGAGGGTCGTCGGGAAGCACACGGAATCATGGGTGGTCCTGCCTCGGCCACACGCAGGCAGCACAAAACCTGGAGTCCAAAGAAGAAAACGAGTTTGATGGCAAAAGAATTATTTTAACCTTCACGTCAAGAAATCTATAAGCCAAATCAAAAGACAAACTACAAACCGGGGAAAGGGCTCGGAATTTATGTCACAAAGTGTTATTTCTTCTTCATCCAAAAAAAAGGAGTTCTTTAGATCGGTAAGAAAACTAATAGGACAAGAGAAAAGCAAACCGAGGCCATGAGCCCAGTTTACGGAAAAGGAAGGACAAACAGCATTAAGCACACGAAGACTGTCCGGCCTCACACGCGCACTTCCGAAATTAAAACTGCAGGAGGCGGCATTTTCAGTTTGACACCGTCAGTTTCCGTTTGATCTCATCAAACGCCGACGAAACGCTGGCAAGTGCTTGGTGGTTAGAAGACAGAGCCACAGGCACTGTTACAAATTCTACTGTGTACCAGCCAGCGGTGAGCATGGAAACGGAACACGCTCCAGGTACGTCAGTCAGGAGCAGACTTCACGCAGGCACTTACAGGCTCACAGAACTGTCAGAAAGAGTAAAGGGCAGGGAAGCTTCTGGAGTGTCCGGGAATCTCAGGAGAGCAGAAGCTGCAGGGAGCCCACTGCAGACCCTAGCTGTGCACTTGTGGGGTTCGCAGGGAACCACACCTGAGAACCACTGGCAAACGCACACCAGGTCTTATCGAAACCCCCACCTCCCACCCTCGCCCACGCCAACTTCTCCTTCTGTTGGGCTTCTGCAGTTCACACCAGTGCCCTCGCTGGCAGGCACTGAACAAGATCTCCGCTGTCAAAAGGTTTGGGGAAAGTCGTTTCCAGGCTGTGACCCTTGCAATATGGGGGTGGGGGGCACAAAAGGGGAGAAGGAATGAGAAGGAACAACAGATGACCCAGAAGAGTGGGCTGATTGGTTCAACCTCTCTGATTAACGACACCCATCAAATTTGCCCTTAGACCCAGTAATTACACCTCCAGGAATTTATCCTACTGGTATTTTAGCGCATCTGCAAAATGGCACGTCTGCCAAGATGTTATTCACAGCACTGTTAGTAACATCAAAAGATTAGAAACACCATGAAAGCCCATTAGTCCATGACTCGCAAAACCAGTTGCTATGCATTCATGTAACAGGATATTGGGCGTCCATTCAAAGCAACAAGGCAAAATGCTGGAGAGCGTGTGAGGAGAAGGGCCCCCCGCCCCGCACTGCTGGTGGGACTGTAATCTGGCGCAGCCACCATGGAGAGCATTATGGAGGTTCCTTAAAAAGCTAAAAACAGACCTACTGTATGATCCAGCAGTCCCACTCCTGGGCATATGTCTGGAGGGAACGCTAATTCAAAAGATATGTGCACCCCAATATTCAGAGCAGCACTGTTTACAACAGCCAGGACATGGAAGCAGCCTGAATGTCTACTGACAGATGACTGGATAAAGAAGATGCGACACACATACACACACACACACAATGGATACTACTCTGCCGTAGAAAGGAGTGAAATAATGCCATTTGCAGCAACATGGACGGACCTGGAGATCATTATACTAAGTGAAGTAAGTCAGATAAAGAAAAACCAACATCATATGACATCACTTATATGTGGAATCTAAAAAAATGACAGAAGTGAATTTATTTACAAAACAGAAACAGATTCACAGACAGAAAACAAACTTACGGTTACTGGTGAGGGGGCAGAGGGGAGGAGCGGTAAATTGTAGTTTGGGATTAGAAGACACACACTACTGTGTATAAAATAGATAAACAACAAGGACCTATGTGCAGTACAGGGAACTGGATTCAATATCCTGCAGTAAACTATGATGAAAAATAATACACGTGTGTGTGGATAACTGAATAACCATGCTGCACACCAGAGACGAACACAAAATTGTAAATCGACTATACTTCAATTTAGAAAAAATTCAATGAGGCAGTTTTACATGACAACGTGGTTCCATCTCCAAGACACATTGTCAGGTGAATAAAGCAAAAACAGCAGATGCAACGTGCTGCCATTTGTGCAAAAAGTGTACAGTTGTGTAAAAAGTAAAATAACCACAGGTACATAAGCGTGTCTGTGCATGGACTTACTTTCCAAGGTTCACAGGAAACAGCAAGTGAAGTTACATCTGGAGAGGAGAACTGGGCACAGGCTGGCCAGGAGGGTCACCCTACTCTGCCTGCACTGTTTGCTTCCCCACGTACTGCTAATCGCAACAAGGATGCTGTTTGTATCAGTCAAGGTCCAATCAGAGAAGGAGAACCATTAAGTACAGATATGGAGATGGAGACTGAGATGGTGATGGAGATGGAGATGGTGATGGAAGATGGAGAAGGAGTACGGACATGGTGATGGAGATGGTGATTGAGATGGAGGTGGAGTTGGAGATGATGATGAAGATGGGATGGTGGTGGAGATGGAGGAGGAGGGGGAGATAGAGATGGATTTTTTTACAGGGATTTGACCTCACACAAAGGTGGGAGCTGGTTAAGGGGTCTCTCAAGGGAGCCTAACATCCCCAGGACGGGAAGTGGGAAGGGAAGAAGACTGTGGGTGTGGGAGTCTGGGGGTGGACAGATACCACGTCCCCCTGTTGCCTCTGACCTTGGCAGTGTGGGTGTCCTCAGGATCAGGCCCTCCATCATGGACTTGAATGTGCACACCTGAAGCCAGAGGAGCTGGAGGAACAGAGTCAGGCCAGCGGATAAAGGGCGACACATGGAAGCCACCAGGTCCAGCCTCCACGTTTCCGTCCACTGCTCACGTGAGACCCCTCCTGCCACGCTCTGCCCAAAGCCCCCGGGAGGGGAATTCGGGGAAGCGTCTTTCACCCAGCCAAGGGGACACGTCACAAAACCACCACCCTTTCAAAAAGAATAATAGGGTCGTATTTTATATCCACTTTAAAAATACTGAGAAATGAGTCTTAATCCTGGCATCAGTAAAATCGATGCAGTCATACGTCCTTGGTGTCGGTATAAACTGGTACAGACTGAGGAGCAGCAAGTTGGATAGACAGCTAGAGAAGCAGTTGGAGCTCTCACACCCCTTCTGGGAATTGGACAAAAGAATCATCACCATCCAGAGTCAGGGGAGAGGGGAGGCTCCATCCCGCCATCATAACATGTCCTCTAACAACAGTTAGAAGCTAGCGAAATACCCAGAAAGTTACCCGGCGCGTGCAGCCTCGCTGTTCACAACTTTTATGCATTTCGATGCTGCAAGCTCTGCCCACGTAAAAAATGCGTGCCACATTAAGGGAAGAAAAGCAGGGCACCAGAATGTGTTTGTGCTTCGCTGGCGTCTGCACAGCACGGCGAGTTACACGAGTCCCAGCGTGCAACACCCCGGAGACACCCTGCCCTCCACAGCCGACGAGCCCCGACAGCTCCCCAAATATCGGAGCTTTCCCAGGAAGCAGGTGCCCACGGCTGCCAACTATCGACCCCTCCTCGACGTGAAAGGCTTCACACAGGTTATCAGCGATGCTCTGAGCAGCCCAGCCAGGTGGGCCCCAGCATCCCTGCATCGGCCCCGAGAACACGGAGGTTCAGGCAGGTGAAGCCGAGGCCTCGCAGCTCTGAGCGGCAGACCAGCCGGGAGCCTGCGCCGGGCCCTCCTCGGCAGCACGCCGCGACTCCCCGGTCCTCCCGGAGATCTCTGACGGGACGCGGGCGCCTGCTGACGGCTTTTTTCAGATTAATCTAATTTTTCATCCTGTTCAGAGTAGCAGTTTGGCAGGGATTTCTACTCCCTGACCGTGTCCATTCGCATTACGTGGAAGTGATTTCCAATTGATTTAAGAGCCTTACTCCCGGGTGCTGGGTCCCCGCAGGTTGGACATGCTTCCAGCTTGGTTTCTAAGTGATTCGATATATTTTAGAACAGAACTGACTACAGGAAAGAGACTTCTCAGCGGTGCCTGTGGACAGACGGGCTCCGGAAGGGGGGGATTGGGCAGCGAGCATAGAAAGTTTGGCCCATTTTCCCTTCCCACTTGGGAAGGATGCCCAGGGGGTCCTAGGAGGAGGGAGGCGAGACACAGCGCCCTCCGCTGTCTTCCAGGAACTGCCTCCCCCTCATTCTCTCTCCTGCCATGAAAAGGGCCAAGCTGCTCGTCTGACTGGCCAAATCCGGGCAGGACTGGCCCCGGCTGGATCTTCTCCAACAGCAGGGCCCTGATTCCCTCCCAGTACCCGTGCTTCTCTGAGGGGGACCTTCATCTCCTCTCGCCAGGAAGCGGTCTTTCTCCACGCACCGGTCTGGGCCGGACGCATAGAAAATGCTGGAAGGGACGGACGGTGCACCTATCCCAGCCCAGGTCTCAAGCGGTCACACGTCCTCTGGGAAACCTACCAGTGGCCAGTGCACAGCGGGGCCACCTGCTGGCCCGGGAGACACACGTGGGCCACCACCCACTGCTCCAGCGGACCGCCTGCTGACCCCGGGAGAAGAGCCACCTCGCTGGCCTGAGGCTGCCCCACACACATCGGGGAGCCCTGGGGGGCCGGAAGGACCTGCCCACTGAGCCCGGCCCCAACGGGCCGGTTCCCGTGGATTTGCTAACGGATGGGGTCTCGGCTTCTAATCCCTGCTCTGCCACCTGGTCCCCTCCCGTCCAGGCAGCCTGGCCCCTCCCGTCCAGGCAGCAGGAAGGAGCTAACCCGAGCTGGCCCCGAGGGCCAGGCTGCCATCCCTTCTCCCCACCCCCTCCTCTGTCCCGCAGGGCGCTGTGCCGCGGGCCCAGCCCAGCACAGCGGCCACCACAGCCACATTCCCCACAGGCAGGCCGCTGCCCAGGGTCACCACCATCCGGCAACCCGAGAGGAGCCCTGGGTAGGAGGGCACAGGGTCCCGTCTGGGTCTCGGGCTTCACCTCCACGCCCTGACCAGCCAGGGAGGCTGGGGCACCAGGGCGCGGACACCCTCGTCACAGTCCCTGTTTGGCTGGCGCTGCTGAGCTCTCGGCGCTGAGGACGGGCAGGACGGGGGTAGGCACGCCTGGGCTCCTGGTCACACGCAGCACCGTCCAAATCCCAACTCGATCCCCTAAGAAAAAACACAATCCTGTTCACACGAGTCTGGGATCCTATTTTAAGGGAGTAATCGGAGGACAGCGTTCAGATTAATCATCAGGGCTGTTCCTTTCCTGCAGCCTCACGACTCTGGAAAGCAACTCGGGCAGGTTATCAAGTAAACGTTGGTGCCTCAAGGATGCAACGTCCCCGAGGACCAGTCGGCTGTCTTCACCGACTGTCTTCACCGGGATGCTTGGTCCGCAGACCACGAGCCCCTCGGGGCCCCGCCCGCGGAAAGGGGTCCAGGACCAGGGGGCTGGGGGGCTCAGTTACTGACTCATCCAGTTACGAGTGGTCCCTAAGCCCCTGTGTACCAGAGCCCTCGGGGGCTGAGCCTACGAGCTGGCGGGTGGCTGGGGAGGAGCAAGGTGGTCACAGCCCGCCGCTGCAAGGAGAGGGCGGGGCGTGCCCCAGGCAGGAGACGGGGCTCGGGGCCCAAGGACCTGGGTCTGCTCTCGGCCCCTCTACACCCACCCGCTTCCCAAGCCCACCAGCCCAGCACCTGGCCTCACCCTGACCAGGACGCCAGCCTGCCCCCCGCCCCCTTGTCCTTGGAGAGTGTCACCAACGCCTGCCACTGCAGCCCTCTCCTCGGCCTCGGGCCGCGGCTTCCCGCTTCTCCACCAGGACAGAGCCAGAGCTCTCACTCCACTGCCCTGTCCCCGGCTCTGTCCCCTCCTGGCCAGCCTTGCCACTCACCTTCCAGGTTAGTCCATTTTACCCATCCAGTTGGCCAGGCCAAGGCGCCCAGACATGTGATCAGATGCCAGCCTGGATGTGGCTGTGAAGGTGTTTTGGGAGATGTGGTGAACAGCCACGGCCAGCTGACTTGGACTGGAGCCAAGC